TTGAGACGGATGAAATTTGTTCATTGAAAATCTCAAATAAATTAATTTGTCGTAAATAAAGTAGAGTATACTACTCGCAATACTGGCTATTATTCCCTCGGAATGTTACTCCCTCGCCGCTAACGTGGCTCAGTTCGTAATAATCCTCGGGAATAATAGCTATCATTATTGACTCATGGTATAATCTACTATTATTTAATTGTTTATATATTGTTTCTTTATCTTGCTTGGTGTAGGGACAGGGATAATGTACTTCTCAAAAATAAATACCATGAATATAATAAAATTTTACAAAAACTAATAACCATTACAAAAAATAATTTTGAAAAAAATTATGTTTTAGATAATTGTAATAATAGTAAAACTACTTGGAATTATGTTAATAAAAAATTAGGCAAAGGTAATAAAAAAAAAACGGAAATTAAGGAAATTTTACAAAATGATTTAATTTTGAAAGAAAACAGAGATATTGCAAACCATTTTAATAAATACTATAATGAAGTGGGTACCAACATGGCTCAAAAAATTAATTACAATGATCACATTATTAGGAAAAAAATTAACCTAAATAAAAACTCAATTTTTTTGTCTTTCACCAGCAAGACTGAAGTTGAGAACATCATAAAAAATTTAAAGAAAGGAGCTGCAGGAGGAGTAGACGGAATCTCAGTCAAGGTATTACAAATGCTCTGTTCCTTTATAGCTGAACCCATTTCGGAACTTGTTAATTTAATAATTATCACAGGACAATGTCCAGATCATTTCAAAAAAGCAGAGATAGTACCAATATTTAAAGACAAAGACAGACGTCTGGCTTCAAATTATAGACCAATTTCTTTAATTTCTAATATTGCAAAAATTTTCGAAAAAATAATTCATTTTAGGCTCATTAAATTTGTTGAAAAGAATGATATATTAAATAAAAATCAGTTTGGTTTTAGGAAAAATTTGTCTACAAATAATGCATTAAAGGCTTTTGCTGATAATATATATGAGTGTTTAGATAGAAGTCAACCAACTATGGCTGTTTTTCTGGATCTGGCCAAGGCTTTTGACACTGTGGACCATACTGTGCTGTTGGAAAAGTTATATCGGATGGGAATAAGAGGTATTCCATTTGATCTAATAAGAAATTACTTGAGTAATAGAACACAAATGGTGAGAGTCAATAATGTTTATAGTAATGAGTTAATAGTTAAAGTAGGTGTACCACAGGGAACCATTTTGGGACCTTTTTTCTTTGTTGTTTATCTGAATGACTTACTGGAGCTGGACACTGGTGCACAAATTTTGTCATATGCAGATGACACAGCCATAATACTACAGGCAGAAAGCTGGTCAGATCTAGAAAATCAAGCCAACACAGTCGTTAATACAGTAGCTTCGTGGTTGAGGCTTAATAAATTATCTCTGAATGTCGAAAAGACTAAATATATATTATTTAGTACATATAATGATAAAGTACCAGATGGTATTAAAGTAGTGATACATGAAAAAGATGGGGATTGTACCGCGTGTAGTTGCAGATCTTTGGACAGTACTAAAACCAACAAGTATTTAGGAGTTGTGGTGGACAACAACATGAAATGGAGAGAACACATATCATTACTGAATAAGAGATTGAGATACTTAATTTTCGTTTTTGCAAATCTTAAAAATGTGTTGGACTCTAAAACTATGTTAATAATATATTACGCTCTCTTCGAATCTGTTGCTACATACGGCATAGTCTCCTGGGGGTCCGCTTATAATAATGTCATAGGTTATGTACAGAATATACAAAATAGGATATTAAAAATTATTTTTAAAGTACGAAGCTCAGCTTTAAACTTAGCATATAGGGAAAATGTGATATTAAATATAAAACAAAATTACTACTATAAAACACTAATTTTAAATTACGAATATCTAAAAAATAAATATTTACAGAGACAGACAAATACTAGAAATAGAAATATTCCTAGTATACAAACTAATTTGGAAGTAGGTAAAAAATCATCATTAGTAAGTGCCACAAGACTGTATAATTTATTGCCAAAAAATTTAAAGAATGTAAAAAAAATCAACAAAACTTTCAAATGCAACATAAAGCATTTTTTCATTAGACAAAACATAAATGTATAAATCTTCAATTTCTATCGAATATTATAAAATTACAATGAATAATTTATTTCTCAATTACCTGATATGTATGAATAAATAGAAATTTACAGGAAAAAAAAAAAAAATTATTAAAATGAATGCAAAACTTTAATTGTTCCTAACCAGTAAAAATAGTTTAGTTTAAGGATCTTTAGTTTTAAGTACCGGGCCTGTGCACAGACTTCTTGTCTCTTGCAGGGTAAAAATACTATGTAATTTACTGTACTATACACCTGGAATAAATGAATTTGAATGAATTTGAATTTGAATTTGTTAAAACCTAGTCATGTATTTTTGTTTTGTTCAGTATTTTATAATTTACACATTAGGTTTAAGTTTTACAGCTCTATTCACCATTTTGTTTGTTAGTCCTGATTTTTTATTTTTAAATTTTAATTTTGATTATTGATGATTTTGTTTATAATGTATATGCTTTGTCAACAAGACTATTGTCTTATAAGATAATAAAGCTTATTTTGATTTAATTTGATTTGATTTGATTTGATTTGATTTGATTTGATTTGATTTGATTTGATTTGATTTGATTTGATTTGATTTTGAATCGAAAACTAAACTACTTAAAACCTATTGGCTTTTTTATAGATCAGTTTTTTCCTAATAATTATGTGCATTTAGAAGGACTTTTGCACTCAATTAGCCATTTATTGAATAAAGGAATCAATATTCTCATGAAGTTTTCATACGTTAATGTATGGGCTCGTATTGCTGTATTAATTTTTTTCATCCTAAAACCACATCCACGGTAGATTGCCTATATAGAGCCCACTCTCCATCAAAAATTCCTGAACTTGCCATATATTGTCCAATAATTTTTAAAAAGTTCATAATAACATGAAAAATCCTAGTCATACAATTACCTTTTTTGTATAATGGAGTTTTTGCCATTGAAACTCTTTTCCAGCAATTTGATTACATCTGATGACGGCTCAAACTGTATAATTATCTGAGACTTATGAGGTAACCAAGGTAAATATCCATATAGGTTTGTATGTTGATATATAAAATTATGTTCAAAAAACTTGTGAAATCCTAACCAATGCAAAATTATCATGATCTTCTGCATTCTGCATATACACCAAGCCCTATTTTGATATGTAGCGTCATAACCGAGGTCATAACTAAAACTTTGACCTTCTTTTGTAATAATATTCCGATTTTCTCTTGCTACTCTTTTATTTTTTCAATTGAATGAAACTCATCGGAAATAGTGACTTTTAAATTATAGGTCAGAAATTTGAAGTTTCCAGGTTTGGTTTCATTTATTGGACTCTTTGAATTGCTGCCATTTGGGTTCCGTGAAATGTAGGTACCTTGTCTAAAGTTTCTTCCATCAATATTATCTGCAGTAAACTGAACAAATCTATTGGATACCATAATTGGCTAGGGATTGTTACATGAGTATTTTCTAAGTAAAGTTGAATTTCTTCTTGGGCAATGCTATTAAGTACTTTTGAGTATCAGTGTAAGATATCGAATGACCACAAGTGAGTATTGCATCAGCAAGCTTTTTTGACCTGGTTTCCTGATGGACCAAACCTATAAGGGTATACTTTTTTCCAATTGAACATACAAAAATAATATCTTGGCAAATATTGAGTACTTCAGATTCTTTTTTGTCACAACATGAGTCGCTCATTATTATGAGAAGACTAATCAAAAAATAATAATAATTATTTGGAATATACTTTTTGTAATCAATTACATATATTCAAATTTTTCAATTCGGCATTATTTGGAACTTCATTTATTTCCATTTTGAGATTTTGACAAATCTTTATCAAAATTTCTAGTTCTGACGGACCAAAGGACAAATTGGGAGTTTCGGTTTCACTTAGCTATAAATACAAATACATCATTCGAAAGTAAAGTCTATACGAAGTCACTTGGACTAGTATAAAAATTAAATCCCGGCATAAGTCAGCTTTTTCTTTGTCAAATAAAGGGCTTTATTTCAAAAGGCATTACTAAAATCAATAACCAATACATAATACACTAATCGAGAAGACTAGAGTAGGTAAGGCACTGCAATGTTTCTCACACCGACAATCATATCGCCCCACAAAGCGGAATGAACAGAAACAGTGGGCGCTTTCTTTTATTCAGCGGTGGATCCATCAGTAATCAGCCTTTCTTTGTCTAGTTCATAGAAAATAGGAATATCTGTCTTATTATGATGGCAGCAGATGGATGCATTGCTGAATAAGAGAACGCGCCCAGTATGTCGGCGAGTCCGCGTTGACTGGCATCCAACCTGTACAAGAAGCCAATCAGATCTATTCATCCCTACTTGTCTGGCTTCCAACAGTACGAGGAGCAATCAGTATAAATTTCGCTATATTTTTCAATATGTGATGTAGTATATTGACCATACCACTATTTTAGGCCTGGTCCAAGTAATTTCGTTTAGACTTTACATTTCATTAGCTTTAATTTTACAAAGTATAAAATTTTCTGTGGGACGCACCCTTCTCGAGATAAAAGCCAAAAACTGAAAAAAGTGACCTTCGGGTCGCCCCTTTCCACCCCACGGCCCATGAAATCGACGGGACCTTATGGGACTTTGTTAAGGACATATTTCCCTACATTCTTGAAAAAATTGGAACCCCATCATTTAATGTGAGATCAAAACCTATTTTGCCTGGAGAATACATTATGTTGTAATATCTGTTATATTCTTATTTTATTCATGTGCAATTTTATTAGATAAAACTTACATCACTCTAATTATGGTTCAATTTCTGATAAAAACATTACTTTCCAATTCCAAACAAGTAGATCGACAACCACTCTACCCTCATTTAACTAATCCCATTATATTTATTTCAATTTATTTATAGGCTAGATCAGCAGCTCCTTGTGTCCTATTCTTTGACGAATTGGATTCCATCGCAAAGTCAAGAGGTGGCAACGTCGGTGACGCGGGTGGCGCCGCAGACCGTGTTATCAATCAAATTCTAACCGAAATGGACGGTATGGGCGCCAAAAAGAACGTTTTCATCATCGGTGCTACCAACAGACCTGATATTATCGATCCTGCAATCTTACGTCCTGGCCGTCTGGATCAGCTGATCTACATCCCCTTGCCCGACGAAAAATCACGCGAACAGATCTTCAAAGCTAACTTGCGCAAATCGCCAGTAGCCAAAGATGTTGATATGGTTTATATTGCTAAAGTTACTCACGGATTTTCTGGAGCCGATTTGACGGAAATTTGCCAGAGGGCTTGCAAGTTGGCTATTAGACAATCTATCGAAGCTGAGATAAGAAGAGAAAGGGAGCGCGCTGCTAATCCTGCTGCCGCTGCTGCTATGGACGTGAGTATATTATTTTTATGTATTGAAATCCTATCTTAAAAAAGACACAACACTAGGCGTTGAAGCCAAAGAATACCTGAATACGAATTCGAAAAGACCAATGACATTAGAATATTTGATGTCCTTGGAAAAGACTCATAGTGGTAGTCTCTTCCAGTTTTCAGTTGTAAGATGGTCTGCCTGATCGTGTTCAACGTTCTCTATTTAAAGTGGCAATCTCAACCACCTCATCTTTCAACCATTTCTCGAAATCCTTCTCTCCATTCTTAGTGAAGCCTGAAATAGATCTTTTCGCCCTCTCTCAGTTTAAGCTGCTTAACGCAGTTGACTCACTAATTAGTTTTTAAAGAATGCTGATGCTTCTCACTCCTCTGATGGGGACTTAAGTTGTCCTCTCATTAACTGCAAATTTTCTTCTTTCTGCAAGTCACAGATCATACTATTTTGTGGTAGACACTTTAGTAGATAAAGGAACAAAAGACTGCCGTTTATTGTAACTTTTATGATCAAAATGTATGTAATAAGGAGCAAGAATGTTCAAATTTTGATATTGTAGCATATTGTAATTGCTGAATAAACGCATTTATTATTATCTATAAATCCTATTGAGTATGGTAAAATTATTTTGGTAGTAACCATATTTTTCCATCTTTAGTTGGACGAAGACGATCCAGTTCCCGAAATCACTAGAGCTCACTTTGAAGAAGCCATGCGATTCGCACGTCGTTCAGTGTCTGATAATGACATTCGCAAATACGAAATGTTTGCCCAAACTTTGCAACAATCTAGAGGTTTTGGTACTAACTTCAGGTAAGTAATTTGATAGATAAAAATGTCTATGTGTTGATAATTTTATCTTCACAAAGGCAAAAAGTGCGAAATTATTTTGAGAATTGTTTTTTCTTTAAATGATGTTAAGACTATCATCATAATTAATTATTTTAGGTTCCCATCGAGTCAAGGTGCGCCTGCTCAAGGTGGTCAGGTACCACCTCCTGTCGCGCCAGGCGATCAGGCCAACTTTGACGATCCTGAAGACGATTTATATAGTTAGAAATTTAGGGTGCGTGGGTTGGCGAAAAAACGATTTTTTTTTTAAATTATATTATAATACCATGTATTTCTTCAATCGGACCGATTGATTGAATTTATATCTAGGTTAATTTTGATTTTATTTCATAATAATAATTATGTTTTCTTATTGATTATAGTTTTCAAATACAAAATTAAAATGTTCACTTGGAACACAAAGGGTAGTTTTATTGTGGAATGCCATTTTGTTGAAAATTTTATCGATGACGTGAGTACAAACCTTCGTGGAACGAACTATAACATAAATCTCACACATCATCATCATGACATATCATATATACTATACTGGTATTCAGGTACACATCATACCAGTTGTCAGTTGAAATTTATTGTCGCCGATTTCTCCCTAATAATTCAACCCCCAGAATCGAAATGAAACATGATCCGGGATGCTGGTGCCTCAGCTGTAGACGCCCAGACTTTTGGCAAAAAATCAACCTGAATCACTGCTGTTTTAAATGGATTTTAATCACTTCCTGCGCTATTATAGTTTCCTACTTCTACAGGAAAACCTGGGAAAAAACGCACGCTTGCCGGCCTCTTTTGGATCTACACAGTTAACTTAAAGTGCATAATCCAAATTTAATAATAATGAAGCTAAAGTGAATAGTGTTTAATAATAATATTCTTCTGAGTAATATTCAAATAATACTGAACTTGTAACACCAATTTATTTTTATGTCAGATTCAGCAGGTCAACTGGATGAAATAGAATCCATATCCTAAAAAAAATTGTCATTCTGTTATTTATAGGACCCTGATAAAAGCCATGGTGCCTATATTATGTGTCAAAGATCTTCTCTGAAATAATGCCTTCTAGTTTGGGCATAGGGATAGTGTAGAGACAAAAGGTCTCTGATTTTTACTTGAATTTCTGAATTGGTGCTCCTTTGTAGTGTCTGTGTAGCAAGATTGAAAGTGGGTAGCGAAAGTGTCGGAAATGGCCTAGTTGTCTGCAAAAACTTGCCCATTATGTTGCAGCATTGCTGGAATGCCCGAGACCTTTCTTTAGGAGGACTACTGTTCATCAACATATTAGCACTCCTTCTGATTCCCCAATCGTTTGCGAATCTCTTTTATCTCCGATTTCTTCCAAATATTTTTATTACCCTCAAAATACCATTGACCCGTTGTTTCCGGTCTTCTCCTCTTCCAGAATTTACTCTTGGAATTTTGCTATTCAGACAGTTCACGAAGTAATCGAATTATTAGATTTTTTAAATTTAAGCAGCGATAGTGCAAGTTCAAACATTTTAGAATTTTTCGTCCGGCAAGTCCGTTTTCCTCACTTGATTGCTTGGCCGAACTCAGCCAGTTAGGAAATATACTATTCACTGATGTGAAAGTTTTGGATTAATTTTCTTCGCTTTTCCATCCACAGACGCGTTTCGATCTATCAGATCTCATTAGTGTGGCTAGGAGAGCAAAGAAAGAAAACCAATCCAAGTTTAGTGCTTGCAGGCAAAGTAGAAGTTATATGACGAGCGAAATTTGATCGTGGCGCCCTAAGACTAGGATTAGGCGCTAAACAGCACTTTTGTTGTAAAAGTACTAACCATATAATAGGCCGACCAAAAATCAGTTAGTTGGGAAAACCTAAAATAGGGAAAACAAGTTTTTCTGCGATTGACAAGAAATGTCATCATTTTTGACCGGTTGACTGGTATTTTCATTATGTTTCAATAGTTGCTAAGGAATCAATGAATACGGGGATTTTCGTACTGCTGAACAGGAACAAGAAAACAAACATTTAACAGATATTTAACCGATCGCAGAAAAAATAGTATGTGTATTTCGCTAAAAAAGCACATTCTTGGCCTTCGGTGTTTGCCTCGGCTATGCCTCGTCTGTCAACTTACACCGTCGTCCGAGAATGTGTCACTTTTCCACCTAAATACACAATATACTATTTATCCTATTATCCAATGATAGGAAAAATTTGGATTCATTTTCTTCGCTTTTCTATCCACAGACTCGTTTCGATTTTTCAGATCTCATCAGTGTGTAAAGTGTACTTTACCGCACGCGAGTAGGAGAAGTGTTTGTTGCACCTAAAGTGCTCAAGCCCGAACCTATTGCCCGAACTCCCCAGTGGCGGCTCGTCAGAGGAGTGCTTTCCTTGTATTTTTTATTTTTCGTCAAAATTAACTCCGAAAATATACAGGGTGTCCCAAAAAGATACCGACAAACTTTAAAGGGTAGTAGGGGACATCAAATCAAGCAATTTTGTTTATATAAACATATGTCCGCAAATGAGTCATTTGGGCTGTAGAGCAAAAAAACTGTTTGGTACTTTTATTCTCCGCAACTCACTGTTTACTTATTAATTTTGCTTTATTACCAAATAAATTATGGTTTACAATAATTGTTCAAAATGTTGACCATTTACTTCAATGCAAAGATTGCACCGTCGGGTCATTGACTGAAAAGTTTAGTCTACGAAACACCTGTTCGTAATGAGGAAGATCTGTTAGCAAGGATACTGGCGAGTTGTACCCATGTAGAAGCTATTTCCGGAATATTCCAATGACCCGACGACGGCGCAATCTTTAAATTGAAGTAGATGGTCAACATTTTGAACGCTACCCCAAGCAAATAAACATCAAGAAATCTTTTCGAAATTTCTTTCCGACAACCAGTATTTCAATTTGTCGATTGTAGTTTCTAGTAGGGAATATTCAAAACATTTCTATAGGTTTTTTGAGTATTTATTCACGCCAAAGGTGCCTAATATTTGATCGTACCTTATACATAGCTTGAAAATAAAGTGGTTCAATTTAGAATAGATAAACTATACCACATAGAAAGTTCAGATAGATTTGTGTTTTCTGGCTTGAATTTGCCATTTTTTGGTATAAAATTCTTGAGAGATGGACACTTTCGACGAAGAAATATTCGGAGCAGCGAATGCAGCAGTCGGCTTTTTCATTCCGCGTAAATCCCAGGACCGGTACAATAAAGAATATGAACAATTACAAACGTATTATTAAAAGAGTGCGGTAAAGAAGTTTTACAGCACCGAGTGCGGTAATAGCTATTTAGGTACCTAACAAGTGCGGAAAATGAATTTTTCCGCACGAGTCTGCCGTTCGCGTCGTTCGGTGTAGCAGCCGAGTGCAAATGTTAGGTATAATAGTTTTTCTACAGACATGCGGAATTAATTTATACCTACATAATTTGTAGTGATTTATAATTTTTTTTTTTTTTTGACAGCCGTGCGAAAAAAAAATTCCGAACCGATATCCGATTACAGCACTAGAACTAGTTCGGAATCATTCTGCACATGCGCATATTATACGCGTTTTCGTTATTTCAGAATCGTAATCGAACTGTTTTGACAGTGTTTTGGTTTATCTAGATCTATTTAAGAACAATTCTGGGATGGTCTAGAACGGTTCTTGCTCTGAAGGAGGAACTGTTATGGAATCCTATATTTTTATGTTCACAACGGCAGGCGCAAACGGTAACGGAATTGCAACGTCAAGTTTATAAATGGGCCCTAAGCGCGTGAAGCCCCGGAGCTGTTGGAGCTCCTCCTAGGTGTGAAAGGATTACAACTTTTAGGCGGTTACACACGGACGTGGATGTCTGAAAACATGTACGCACATACATGAACGTGCAAACAAAAACATCAATGTGTATGCAAAATACCGTCGCGTTTTTGAATGTGCAATTTTGTATGCACACTCGGAATACTGTAGCAAGAATAGCAAGACTGCAGTTTTGTGCGAGCGTCTGTACAAAAGCGCCATGCACGTTGTTGTTTGCACGATGATGTATGCACGTATATAGTTGTATTCCTTTCATGAATTTGAAACACTCGAGCTACTCGCTCCGGTGTTCAGGCGCCCCTGATTTGCAGGGAACAGATGCGTGGTGCAAGAAACACTTTTCGAAAAGAATACGCGCGTGGAGCCCTGGAGCTGTTCAGGAGCTCCTCCTAGGTGTGAAAGGAATACAACTTATGTATTAATACATCCACGTCCGTGTGTAACCGCCCATTCTTGCTACAGTGCTCCGAGTGTGCATACAAAATTTCTAGCGATTGCACATTCAAAAACTCGACGATATTTTGCATAAGGCGGTTACACACGGACGTGGATGTCTGAAAACATGTACGCACATACATGAACGCGCAAACAAAAACATCAATGTGTATGCAAAATACCGTCGCGTTTTTGAATGTGCAATTTTGTATGCACACTCAGAATACTGTAGCAAGATTAGCAAGACTGCAGTTTTGTGCGAGCGTCTGTACAAAAGCGCCATGCATGTTGATGTATGCACGTCTATGTATTAAGACATCCACGTCCGTGTGTAACCGCCCATTAAGGCGATTACACAGAGTTGGAGCGGATAAAGAGCAGTTTCATAGTAGCCTGATCACAGAGTGAAAAGAATAAAATGGTGAGTCGAACGCATCAGGAGTAAGGCGAGCCGCGACCAATGAAGAAGTGCCGCGGCCCCCGAATTCTTGTCCCCGCACAAACCGGAACATGTGTTTCTGCGGATATTTTGGGGAATTTTTTAGGTTAGGATTCTCAGGATAGTGAACTAATAGGGTAGTGGACAATTTTGGAAATATTTTTTTTATTAATCTTCATAACAAAATAAACAATTGTTGATGATTCTTTGATTTTAGAAAACAAAAATATACGCAAAAAAAAATTAACAAATTTGTACTTATTTTAAACGCTATAATTTACCGCCAGGAAATTACGTCATGGCTGTTATGTATGCCCAATAGCGCGTCCTTATATTTTACATGCTTTTAGAAAAAGATGCCGATAAACTCAGTACGCACTGATTGACAAATAGAATTCTCTCAAAAAGTGGGGTTATGTTGAGGGCAGCGTTGCCACCTCACGAAAATTAAATGTAATAGATTAAAGCAAAGATTAACTACAGGATTGCTCAATCCCATAAGACAAACGTTCATAAAAACATCGAAGATGGCGGTATGCGAATGACGTCACGCAGTCCTTGATCGGTTTGTGTTTTTTATGACAGTGCCCTATCCTTGCATTTTCAAACGTGAAAAATTGTTATTTTGAGGTTATTTCCTTTGAAAACTGTATTTTGTAATTAATTTATTGATTTTAAAATTAGCAGACTTCAAAAGCTTGTGTTGATCCTTGAGGCTTGAGTGGTTGGCTAAT